AAATCGGTGCGAGCGGGCGAAAAAAAAAAAAAACAGTCCAAAAAAAAAAAATGCTTAAGAAAAGTTTTGTTTTCAGTACACAGCTGGAAACACTAATTTACCACAGAAACACGTATCAAACTAACAACATGTCTTTATCCGTGCTCTCAAAATATTAAAGCATTGTGAATAGGGCCTACTTCGTAGAAAGGTAAAAAGTCATGAATATATATAGGCCTATGCTGCATATTACCAAATCTATTTAAGGTTATTTCATGCATTCTGTTGGTATAGCAATCAATAAAACAAATATCAAATAAACAGCGTGTCTTTATTTGTACTCTCAGAAAATTAAAGCATTGTAAACACTTCACAGAATTGTTAAAAAAATGAAGCAAAGATAGGCCTATGCTTCCTACTACCAAATCTATTTAATATTTAGAAAAAGAATGACAACTGATTTTAGTACAATTAAAAACGCTTGTGAAAGAACCCGGGACTCTTTCACGTTGTTAAATTTCAGTCTCTCGGTTGAAATAAAGAATCCGGCGTTTTTTAACGCGCTGCTAAAAAAAATAGCATGCCCCCTACCTCCAGAATGTTACGACATGTATTGTTATAGACAGGTATGAATCAAATTCAAACAGGCTAATTCAACTTTGATGGAAGCAGTCAGTTTTTTAGACAGTTTTTTTAAACAACCGTCAAACACAATTACTACACTCTTCTCTCCGAACATGTAAAACTCCAATATCCTTTGATTGACAAGATGCCAATCAAATTCATTAGTTTCGATAGTTGCTGTCAAGAAAGAACAGCTTGATTGGCAGGTTATATAAACAAACGTCAATTACAATCATTAAACAGTGGATCACTATAGTCGTCGAACACGTTTAGTTCAAGCTCCCTACACCCTTTGATTGACAAGGTGCCAATCAAATTCAGTTAGTTTTGATAGTTGCTGTCAAGTAATAACAGCTTGATTGGCAGGTTATATAAACAAACGTCAATCATCGCGCACTATGATTTCTCTCGCTGTGAAACGGTGAGTACGCCGAAAGAGAGCGCTGAAATCTGAAGTTAGTAATTAATTTGAAAAATATTTTAAGAGAATATATACATGTTTTCAAAACTAGTTCTCTTTCTGAACCCTTCAGCGTGTCTAATACGACACTCTAGATTACAAATTATTTTGTAAAAAGAAGAATTTAGCAAAAGAAACCAATTTTAAAACAGATTCAAGTAAAGAAATATGACATTTGACGTTATTCTGGAAGTAGCGCATGTGTCATTTCAAATTTAGTACAACTACAGAGTGTGCCCCAGTATGTGCGTGGAAGAATGAAGAATAAATGTTTTTGCAATATTATGTGTGGAGCATTGACAGATTCTTTTACTGTCAAAGTCTACTTTCTGCAAACTAAATAAATAAATAAAAATAAATAAAATGATGCTAATTCATCTTCATTAAAGGTGACATTCGTGTTGAAGTTGAGGTAAGTGGTTTAATTTTTGCGGGGCTAAATGTTAGCAAGGACCTTTAATAATAAGTGGATGGGAAACAAAAATATAACTGTAAACAAAAATATTACTATCCTATTTAACAAACAAACCGCTACTTCGCTCTTGTAACTATTTTGTTAGTTTATTTTACATCAGTAAAGCGTGAATAAAATAGTTCAAAACGCCCTCACAGTGCCGTTGTTTTTGCTACTTTTAAAGCTGCTGGGGTTAGGTGAAGGAGCGAGGACAGGGGCGGATCCAGGATTATTAGAGAGGGGGGTGTGGGTGTGTCGGGGTGTGGGGTTTGGGGCCTGCTCAACGGCCCCGACAAAAATGGTGTTTTGGAGAGCAAACAGTGCCCTTTGGTACGGTTTAGAACAATGATTTAGCTTGTCAAATTATAATTTCTAGAGGGGAATATTGGGTGATATATTTTTCAGAAATCGAAAGAGGGGTCAGGATCCCCCCTCTTAATCTGCCACTGCAAAGGCATAATCTCAGACAATTTTTGTATTGAGGAAATTCTTTAATTTTGAGTTTCCAATCAAAACTCCAAAATTGAGAAGATCTCTTTAAAATGCATGCGGGCCGTTAATTTTTTATCATTAGCTTCTGTAATATAACGGCTTCAAAAGTTGGTTCCCGTCTACAAATATATTTACGCGTGCGTGCGTGCGTGCGTGCGTGCGTGTTTTAAAAATTTACGCATATATTAAACTAGGTAAATAAGTACGCACTGTTATTATTTCACTCAATTTCCTTTATGTAAAACTACGTGAAGTAACAATGTAATAGAACTTACTTACCATTTATAAAATATTTGTGAAATATCGAAAAAATCGCACCACTGACATTTCAAATGATGACCATGATACTGTTTTTTTTTTTTTTTTTTTTTTTTTTTGAAAAAATACAACGTGTTGCCTAACTTATGTGCATTAATGTATATAAAGAGTATATTGATGCAAATCAAGCCGTCGGTCTGTTGGAAAAATCACTTGTTAAAATCCGTTTCAAGGAGTAAACACAAACGAAAAGAGCACTAATAATTAATACTCCCTTGATACAAGGAAATCTCGATTATATAATGATGACCTCTTGAAAATATTTGAGACTACTACCTATGATATCAAGGGCTTCTTAAACAGTATGCAAAATTCAAGTATAAGACATATATTAATTTTGTATCACATTACTAGCGCACCCCGTGGTCCACTACAACACCCTAAAGCCAGTTACCATTCCTGTCACACTGGTTTTAAAAGTTACAGAAATACTGACGATAACAGGACTAGTTCCCAATTATCTCCTTGTCTGGTGTCTTTCTGGGTAACTGTCACGCGAATGGCAGCGCATTTACTCGGGCTGTGTTTGCATCTTGGTGACTGACACACTTGAACTTCGGCGACAGTTGATTTGCTTATAGGTCTTAAGTTTGTCAACTGAGGCGTCGGCAGCGAAAAGCAAGTCGTAGAGTAGAGCAGCCACCACCCCAGCTAGTAACTGACCAAGCCAGTAGACCTGAAGGTATATATACATATATATATTATTAGGAAGCATATAAATCGTTAGCTATAGTTTTACTGCGTCCTTAAATATCTTAGTGTCCTATAAATTAATCCCTTTGAAAGAAAAAGAAATTTTCACCTACTTATGAATCATTGCTCAACCCGTCCCTACATTTGGATTCTGTTTTCCGGCATTTATAATTACATAACTTAGTTCTAAATGACCGCAATGTCTTCTTGTACATTTAAGAATGAAATATTGACATTAGATACTTTCATTTGAAGGATTTTATTATTTTTATCGTCTAAATAGGGAAAGATAAGGAGCTTTGCAGGATATGTAGACACAATATGTGTTTTGGGGACATTTTCAAACGGGGATAGTTTACCTATAACTGTCCCTGAAACTTACCCAGTGGTTCTCCCATACTGTGGACACATACAGTACTGCCGGACCGAAACTGCGGGCAGTGTTCATGCCGGCGCCTGTGTATGGGACCTGGAAAATGAATAAGCAAATTAATCAATAAAATTTATGATCCATTAATTATACCAAGTAACAAGAACATGCATTTAATGACTTAATTGTACCGTTAAATGGTACTGCAGTCCCACAAGTCATTTAAAAAAGTTTTGCAGGGAAAAAGTTCCCATTCTCAATGTTTAATAAGCAAACCGACATTTTAGTTATAGGCACATATTATTTTTCCGAGACAACAGCGCACCATTCCTTAGTTCCAGAGAACACTGAAAACTCGACTCTCTACTTACGCTTACCTGTGACACTGGAAGCGGCAAAAGCACGCCACCACAGTACACTTACACACACAAACACACACACACTCATCTTCGGGCAAGCCGTCACGGAGGATAGGCCTATTGACAGTGCGCAGGCTTTTACCAAGATTTCATCGACTTACCGCCCACAGATGACCCATGGCGACGGACAGTCCGATTGCCAGCGGTCCGGAACCATTCAGGTCCTTTCTGTGGGAGTCGCATGTGGCAAACACAGTGAAGACCAACATGAAGGTCGCCATGAACTCAATACCAAAACCCTGCTCTGCTGTGACGCCAGAAGCTAGCTGGGAGGTTCCAAGGGCGGCTTGGTACGCTGTTGGTGTCAGACCCTTCAGAATTGCCGCCCCAGCGATCCCTCCCACCATCTGGCTCACAAAGTAGAAAATACCCCTAACAATGGTGATTTTACGGGTCACAAGAAACCCGATGGTGACGGCCGGGTTGATGTGGCCGCCGCTGACGTTGGCGATGGCCCATACGATGGTGGCCACGCTGAAACCAAAGCACAGTGAAATTGTGGCGAGGCTTTGCATGTTGTTGACGTTTGTGGCTGAGCCGCACGATACCAGCACAAGGAACAGGGTCCCCAGGAATTCCGCGAACATCGCCCTGTAGAGTCCAAGAGAACGGACATCTTCCGCGCTGGTCACGGTTGCCATGGATCCGGACATGGTTGTCAAAGATTATTACAGATTTCTTGGGGGGTTCGGTATTTGTGAATTTCTCGTGCGGTGAAACTTTTTTGTCGTTTTTTTCGTTTTTTCAGTTAGTCAAACTATTTTAAAAAAGTGTCTCTTTTCTTACTGTCTTTGTGAAACGTTGTAGCCTCCTTCGGTCGAGATACACCTGTTCAAACTCTGTTATGTCACAATCTTGAACCGACGTAAGTTTCAATTTCTCCGAAGTCACTGCCTACAAACGAATATCTTTTTCTTCATAAATTGACGACGACCAGGTCAACAAATGTCACTTTTTCCCACTAATGCTGTTTCAGCATTACTTATTAGCGATTAAACCCTTATGAACGCAATGTTTGCTGTTCGTCAATAGTTTTCGAGCAAAGCACCCTTGTAATGTTCCACATTTTAGTCTCTTTCGACCCAGTTCTTCCTTTCTTTCTGATGTTATATATAAAGAATTTCTGCTTACTATTCATTCAAATATTGACTATTGATTGTCGAGAACTCTCTCCTTTTATGATAGCGTTTCATGAATGGGGAGACGGTATTATTCTTACACTCGCAAATTGAACAGCAGTTGAGGCGCTTTGCAGCCTTGTGTGCTTTATCTGAAGAGATTTCTGAAATGATATTCAGAAAGTATTGTACTGGGTGAAAACAGTCGCCATTGCTATTACATAAATCTTAAATTCGTGAAAAGCGAGAGTGAAAATTTGCTAAGTGAATAACTAAAACGTAATGAAATGTGAAAAGCCAAACAGCACTGAATGTACAGTAGTTACTGTAGTAACTGTTGCGTAGTGGTCTCCATAGTGCGCGTTCTTCGAATTTTTATAACTTGATTATCTGCTTAATATTCTTTTGGGGACAGCCAACACTCGCGCTGTCGATATTTTTCTTGGTTGCCAAGTGTCCAACATAACGAGAGACGGCCCTACATTTCATCGAGTGTACAGTATCCTGCATACATGTATGAACGACCACATTTCAACTCAATTGTTTGGTGGATTCTAGTTCCATTTTAGATGTTGAAACTATAGAATGAGTGATTAGGGGTTAGTTTACCCCCTCCCCTATCCCGACGTTACTTATAAATATTCTCGTTTGTTCTATAGGACAAAATTGCACGGAATAGTGAAGTCACGCCCTCATTAACGCCGCAAGGAAAACGCACTTCAAAAAACATGAGCTATATCTAATTTAACATATTTATTGTTTAAAAAATTGTGCAGCAGCGAAATCTTGCATATAATGACCGACATGATTGTGTTTTGACACCCTTCAGATCTTGGAAAGAAAGTTTTTCTCTTGTGCCCATTATAATTAAACGATAATAGCCAAAGTTCACTCAAAAACATTTGGAAGATTATGCTGCTAATAATAAGTGGCAGATTGGAGATGAACCAATAGTTACAATTTTTGCTTGTAATATCCACCCCGCTTAGGTACAGGTGGGGTGTGACCTGGCCGTTCTTAGGGTCGTGGTGGATTGGCCTATATAAAATGTAGATTTATACAAAAACATGACAAAAGAGGCAGAGAGAGGCAGAGAGAACCCTTCAGTTGTTTGCATACCAAATTAAAGTAATTAAAGAAATTGTTAGAATAAAATAGAAAACAGTTTAAAAATCACTTTCAAGAGTAATAATTCAATCTTTACAAATTTGTCTATCAGGATGGCATTTAACAATTGCTTTATATGAATGTTTTCAACAGAACACAATCGTTTTCTCACATTTTGCAAAATTATATGATAAATTCATGCAGAATTGCTGTCTTGTAAGATGTTTCAAGGGGTGTTATCTCTAAATAGTCTATAGATCTTTCTTCATTATGGTTAACAACAAAAAAGTAATAATAATAATAATAATAATAAATTATTATCACACATTTTCAAGAGCCTTGTCAATCAGCTTTAGGGCTTGGAGACCTGTCATCTGTAAGGACACATCCCTGTCTCTGTTCACCTGGGGCTCATTGGGATTAATTCTTATCAACACCCCTTCTTTGCTCCTCTCCACTAACATTTCACCCTGGAATCGGACCGTGGGAACTGCAAGCCCTGCCCCAATTTCAACAACAACAAAAGGTGTATGTGGATCAGCCTTTAAATTGCTGACAAACTGGTTAAATCGGGTCTGCTGGCCATCAGTCCTATGACTGACCCAGTCCCAGTCCCCAAACATGAGGATATTAGGGCGTGCTAAGCCCTGGGGGTCTAAAGGTGGGCCCCTGGGGAGTGGCTCAGCAGCATGCAGTGTACTCTCATCCACCTTTGGGTCAAAATCAGGGGGCACAGGCCAGATAATGTGGTTACTGTCACAATTAACAAGCTGGAGATAATTTATGCTGCCATGACACTCTATGAGTCTGTCTTCTGAGAATCCTGCCTTTTGGAAGTGACCATCAACATTGCTAGTGAAAACAAAGTAGCCTTTGTCCATCTGTCTTGTCCATTTCCTCAGGATGTGGAAGCCTTCATGGGGTGTGGTATTCTTGTATAACTTGTACCTGAAAATTATTATGTTATGTTAAAATATATTATGTTATAATGAAGGCAGATTTAGTATTCATTTATTGACACATTATATCTGAGATTATGTGATGTCCACTAACACACCCTGTGAGAACCTCTCGTGACTGTATGTCGCATTACTTATAAATGGCACGTACACGTTAACACTACTGCACAGCTGGAATTGAAAAAAGTATGATGTTATCAAGCTTGTACATAAACGGATACAAAATCACTTTATTTGCGAATGATTTGATTCAAAGTGAGTTTGAGGACACACACAGTTTCCCCAGGATTTGGACATTTATTGTTCTGAGAGTTTATAACACTGTGTGTTACCATGTAAGGCCGAAAACTGAGTCAGATCCCTCGCTCTCTCCCACAGACACACATTCAGACTCCCCTCCCTCCCCCCCCCCCACCACACACACACAAAATTACCAACAGAATACCTGTGTCCAAAAAATCCCCAAGCAAACGTTGGATCTTCCAGAAACCAAGAAGGTGTGCTCATCTGAGACAGCGTAAGGTTCATTTTTTTCAGAGGTGGGTAAGCTTTCCAAAATCCCTGGGGGCCTCTAAAATCCGGCAGGCCTGAATCTACACCCATACCCGCACCAGCTGTGATAACGATTGCTTTGGCCTGGCGTATGGCTTCGGCTGCACGAATAACGGCCGGTGGTCCTGATGCCATTTCACGTTAGCCAGATGACTCGACAGCGTACTTAACAACACGTACATGTATACTATATATTCGATGAAACTCTTGGTCACTGATTGTCCTGTGACCCAAATGTATCTTATCTTTCATGCATGGCGATAAAATGTAAAATTATGATTTAAAAGCCTACAAATGTTGATTTCAATGAAAGGTCATTACAACCTTCGGATCAGCTGTTTCTAACAGGAAGTAACATATTCAAATCTTAATTTACAGAAGAGCGAAAAACGTGCCTGCTTAGGTAAGCGAGGAGTTCTGGGGTAAGCCAAAGACAAATCCCTCAATTTCGGACTTTTGCATTAAAGATTGCATTTATGCAAAACGACAAAACGATTTTCATAGCTGGTGTTTTTTGAGATAGAGAAATGGAGACGTTTGTGAACATTTATTGATGCATTTGCAAAAGTAGCTCCTTAATTGTCCTTGACAGTCGAGACTCGTGCTCCCCTTGAAGTTATCAGTCTTAGTACTCTTACCCAGTACATGCTAACGGTACCATTACGCTACGTGTTTCAACCCTGAGAAGCCGAAAACTGAGGCTAAGCTCGTACACGGTGCAGTTCTGTGCGGAGCACGCATCCATGCGCGAGCAAGTCTAAGGGAGTGCAACGCTGCTGAAATGCCGCTTGACTGTAATTTTGATCTGTTGTAAAGCCACATTCAATTACTTTTTTATGATACCACACTCGGATTAGATATTTTGTAGCATCTATGATAAGATAATTTAGATTTATACAGTTCAGGATTTGTGCAGAAAACTATATTCCCTTGGCAACTCAGTAAGAAATATTTACATCAGGTACCTTTATTTAAGGGCTTTTGTCTTTTTGTTAAGTCTGAATTGGGGAAAAGGAAGTAGCTTTGCAGGCATATAATCGTGACTGTGGAACAGTCTCAAATGAAAATAGTAAACCTTTCAGTTTGGGGTGTAAACTGTATGAAAAGACACTGAAAAGACTGAAAACACTAAAACTAAAAGGACACGTGCTCTTCTCTTGCAAGGTGTGTCTATCAGCAGTTATGGTTCAGTTCTCAAGGGGTGTCACCTGGATGAGCTATGTTGGAACAACTGTAGGAGGATTTGTTCTTTTGAAGTAAGTCTCCTCTCCTCCCCTCTCTCTCTCTCTCTCTGCTTTATCTGTACAGCATTTAATCTGCATTGCGAAAAAACAAAATCAGATTAAGGGTCATCAATTTTATCATCATTTTCACATGTTTAAAAACCATAGACTTTTTCCTTACCCCTCCCCCCTTCAGAGAGTACAAGCTGAAAAGCTGAAAATGATGACCCAGGCACCAGTTTAAATCATCATTTTTATTATTTTTTTAAAGTGTCTGTTTTGTAGACTTGTGAAAATGATGATTAAAAAGGATGGCCCCTAAATAAAATGACTGAGAAATGAAATTTAAGGTATTGTATGTTTCACTTAGTTTTTGTATAAAAAATGTACATGTTATAAATTAACTTATTTAGATTATATTTTGACATTACCATAAGGTACATTTATGGTGGGGCAAGATATGAAGAAGATACTCAGATCCCAGGCAAAACTGTGATTATTACTGGTGCAAGCAGTGGCATTGGGAAAGCAACTGCATTGGAACTTACTAAAAGAGGCAAGCAGACTTAAGCATGGATTGTGTAACTTTTTTATTGCAAAACTTCAATAAGGTACAGGTTGAAAAAGATTTGGCCTTGGAGGTTATACTAATAAACAAATTGGAGTTTGATACAGGAAGTATCTGTTTGAATTTTAGTGATTAGTCAAAGGAACAGTTTTAAATGGTGGTGATAAATAACAGTATTTTGACAGATGTAAATGTATTTATCTGGGTAGACTGATATGTAACAAGGTTAAAGTTGGTTAAATCTGGATAAATATAAAGTTATGTTTGTCAATAAACAAAAATAATTTTTTAATCAGTATTTAAATAACTTAAAAATTTTTCGGAGTAACTGCATCATGTTTTTATTCATTTAGTTGCATTGTCTCATTATCCAGGTGCTCGTGTGATCCTTGCATGTAGAGACCTGAAAGCAGCAGAGGAGGTAAAAACCAAGATTATTGAAGAGACCAATTCTTCTCTGGTTTTTGTGAAAAAGCTGGATTTGGCATCTCTGACCTCAATCAGGAATTTTGCTGCAGATATTAACAAGAGTGAGTGATAGTGACCTTTGGGAACACACATACTTTTGCTTCTGCATTTCCATACCTTTCCAGATCTTATTTTTTGTATCTTTACACATTTTTATATGCTCTTTTATAAGATAAGGCAAAAGGATGAAGGAAAGTAAAGAATATGATTATTCTGTCTGAAGTTATTTGTTATTTAACTTTGAACATTTTATCAGTAGGCCATGTATTAGTACGTATTAGTTGGGCTCTCTGTCATTGTTTTTTTTAGTCAAAGAAAAAAAATGACCAAAAATGTCTCTGTGATTTATTAAGCATTCAGGTATCCATTGGGGATCTGAACTTCTAGTTTTATCTTATCACTGTGTTACATAATTGTAATTATCTTTGGCAAAAGATTGTGATTTAAGTTCTTTGTTCTGTTTGTAGCCCAGAAAAGAGTTGATGTCTTGATCAACAATGCAGGAGTAATGTACTGCCCACAGTCTGTCACCAGAGAAGGATTTGAGATGCATTTAGGAGTCAACCATTTTGGTGAAGGAATTGCTTTCTATTTTCCATTTTAAATTTTATTATTTTGATTTGAATTTAGTCATTTTCCCTATTTGATTTCCAATGAACGATGACAAATAAATATATTTTAAATAGCAAGAAATGAAAATGTTATGCAGTGTAAAATGTAGTGTTCATTTCTTCATATTTTTACTAAATAATGCAGATGTTATTTGATAAATACATTTATTACCATATGAACCAGAACTAATTGCTGGTTTATTATGTGTTTATTTCTTTTATTTTCATTTATGCAATGAAAAAAAAATATTTCCAGGTCCTTTCTTGTTGACCAATTTATTACTAGACAAAATGAAGCAATCCAAGCCAAGCAGAATAATATGTGTCAATGACTCTGTGTATAAGGATGGACAAATAGATTTTAAAGATTTGAACTGCAAGAAGTTTTATGATGAACGACATGCCTACAGACAGAGCAAGCTGGCTAATATGTTGTTTGTTAATGAGCTGGATAGAAGATTAAAAGGTACTTTTTGCAACGGAGAGAGAAAATTAACTTTTGTGAAAACTCTCTCTCTCTTTCTCTCTCATTTCTGATAGAATTTGGGAATATTTGCCATACCCTTAAAACCAGTGGCATTTTAGTTAAAATGAATAGTCATTAATAACACCTCATTGGTCTGGTAAATGATGGGACTCAAACCCTCAGTTTTGGTTATGCTGCTTGGTCTACACCCTTTACCTCATTGCACATGCTGAGAAGTCTACACTGGTGCATTGAAGTGATATTTGTAAATATAAACCTGTCTAAACAGCAATAAATAAAGTTCACCCAATGTGTGACTTCCATTTTGCTCAAGGAGCTGATGATGGTTTACATTATTGTCTTCATTTCATTTTGGAGGCTTCTGATCATGAGAGTTGGAGGATTTTTTCTCCTTTTTTGTAATTAATGACCTGAATGTTTAGCAGGGTAATATAAACTCAATTTATGATGGGGCAATACTGTACTTATTCCTTTGAAAGTTGTATCTTTTCAGTTTTATACGAGTAGAATAATCTCAAGTAGATTTTCTAGTTTTTGTCAAACTGTTGTACTCAAAAGTTATTTCCATCATCAGAAACATGGATATTAATATTAATAATATCTTGAATTTCAGATACAGGAGTCACAGTAAATGCTGTAAACCCAGGAATCTGTAATACCAAAATCCACAGACATTCAAAAACATACCACTCCATATTTTTGGGAAATATCTTGGGATTTTTGCTGACCATCTTTGCCAGCAACCCACAACAAGGATCACAGACAGTGGTCTATGCAGCTGTGGCTCCAGAGTTGGAGGAAGTTTCTGGGAAATATTTTTCGTAAGGACATTTTTTATGTATATCTTAAGCAAATCTTAAATGTTGCACTAAATGCTTCTATTATTAACCATAAGAATACTACTGAAATAATTTTTTAAGGTCCAATTTGAGTCAGTGAGATCCTTTGTGGGCGTATGGGTTTTTCCTAGGGTATGTGCACAAATCTATGCCCTAATTTCATGGTGGTAACTTTTTTATAAACGTACAAAGTTACTTAAGTAGTTTCTTCATACAACAACTAAAATTAGATCATTCACACTTCAGTTTGTCGGTGTCTGTCCAGGAATGTCATCCCATTCCTCCCTGTACTGTCTGCATGAACCCCATAGAGAGATCAGGGAGAGCGTAACATCATTCTAAAATGTTGTAGAAAAAAAAACTGATTTAAGCCATTGATTGGAGAAAGAATTGCAGTGGCTTAGTGTTTAGCAGAGCATAAGAAAATTCTTTCTAGATAAACATACTAAGATTGAATTTTCACCATCTTTGATTTTCCAGGAATTGCAAGGAAGAAAACATTAATCCTGTAGGGAAGGACACCAAGGCAGCTGAGAGGCTGTGGCTTATTAGTGAAAAATGGACAAGATTAGTGAGTTAATGTTGGTAGTTCATAGACCAGTCAGGGTATATAATCTCCAGATCTTTTCCATTAGCAGTTAAATTTAGAAGAGAAATAAGATTGCAAAAACTGGAAAACTCTCACTCCTAGGAAGGACTAAAAAGACTGTAAACTACTACTGAATTTTGGACCAAAAGATGCCAATGTATCCATCAGCTGAATGGGAAATATGACAGTTTTCTTTGAATTACCATATTACATATGTATGACACAAATATACCTTATCAGCTTCTGAGAGGTGACCTGAATCACTGAACTGGTATCAAAAACAGCAATGTTGCATCTTCTGGCAGATGAATGAAAATAAACATCTCTCATCTGATCTTCTAACATTTTATTTTTTACTGGTGGCATTTTGTAAATATACCACCATGACAGGGGCTTAGCGTAACTTTTAAATGTTAAAGATATAAGATTGTTTCATCATTGACAATATCTTTTAAATTGCCTTATTTGCAAAAAAATTAAATTCAACTACCATAAGTTCATTATTTGCAAAGCATTTATTATATAAAACGGTTATTTGACAAATAAAAAATTACAGCTCTGTCACTGTTTAAAATGACTTATAAAATCTGTTCTTTTAATAATTTTTGTGATAGTAAAACAATTCTTTTCAAATGAAAAAAAATCACTGGCACATTCCATGATGACCAGGAAAAGTTGTGGAACAAGGACGGGTGTGCATCAAGTATTCTCTCTGGCAGGTTCCTCGTTTGTTGTGAGACGAGTTCCTCTAATTTATAAAAACCTTAGGATGCTCTGAAAGCATTTTCCTTTCAATTTCTAGATAATATTCTTTCGCAGTATTATTCTCACGAGAAAAACCTAAATGTGAACATCTGAATATTTAGAAAAAGATGAAATGTTGCAGGTGATTTTAAAAAATGAAAATGTTGTAGATAATGCAAATGATTTGCAGTGATTTTACTTCCAAGTCTCACTCAGGTGAAAACCATCTGAAGACCCCTTCGAAGACAATATTCTAACAATTCATTCAGCTACCTGTTTCCTTGTTGAGCTGAAAGGTACAATTAGAAACAAATATTTTTTCATTTTTTCACCTACAATGTATGATCTTTTTATGTGATGATCATATGCAGTTAAAACATTTGAAGTTTGCCATTTTTTAATTAGATGAGAAAAAAAAAACTAATATTTTAAAAACCAACTCGTCAAAATAACTCGCCTTTTTTTAACAAGTTCTGTCTTGCTCTCATGAAAGCCATGATGTCAGCATCCGCCTGTGCATCTCCTGTGAGCTGAAGGGGAGGCTTAGTAGCCTCTGATCTGGAACAGACAAAATGAGGCAAATGACATTTATGTTTCTTTTTCAGCAGCACTACAAGATAGGTGGATCCTGCAACTCACCCCCCTCAATTTTCAAATTAAAAAAGCAGAATCAATTCTAACCATGTAATCAGTGTTGCAAATTTAAAAAACGACAAATACTGAGCTACTTTTTGAACATTTTCTTTTCAGCAGGGGTTAAGATTGAGGAATAGCATTCTTATATAGTATGATAACATGATACTATCATTGTCTTTCACTGCCAATTTAAGTTAAACCGTTTTCCATCCATCAAAGCACTTAAACACCCAAACAAGTCTTGTATCCCTAAAATTTGAAAAATATTCTAGAGAGAGAGAGAGAGAGAGAGAGACTTCATACCCAACCCTCCATGACTGCTGGTGGTTGGTCCCAGACACTTCAGTATGATATCCACTGGATTCCTTGTTCATTGTATTGGTTGACTTGATATAGGTGGTCCCCACTCCACTATGTCTTAGGGACCCTGGGTGTGGCGGCCTACCTGGACCCTGGGGCTCAGAAAACTGGGACCCCTTAAAGAGAGGAATCAATAGAATCGGGGGCCTGTTTCACAGAAAATTAAGTTTTTGAGAATAGCTTAGACTGACAAATATTACTATGTGCATTGTAGTGTGTCTCATTTGTCATATTGCAATTTATGAATGATTGGCCCCAATAAAAGCATCCGATTTACCGAGTTAGGCTATTTTTATCAGTGAAAGCAATCCTCTTGTTGAGACAATCACAATTTACTCTGTGGTCCTTAACAGTTTTTTATGAAACCCATATTAATCAGCCAAAATTTTGAGAAATATTTGCCTAACCCAATTTAAACTTCACTTGTTTGGTGAAACAGGGCCCAAGTTAAAAGAACCTCTTGAGTATGATGTGTTTTTATTTCAAAGGTTATCAATGAATCAACAATATACTATTTTGAACATCATTTTAAATATATATATATTTCCCCACATCTTTCTTTCCTGCAAACTTGGCTATAATAAATTTTTCCAAATTCCATGTTTTTACCTACCTGTGTTGTTATGGATGATCCACTGGCACTTTGTTTCAAAGGTGACAGTGGTGGTGTTTTCCATGCTGTCTTGTGGCCTTTACTGTGGACATTTTGTTGCTGGGACTGGAAAGAAAAATATACCGACATTCATGGTATTGCCAATGAACCTCTAACTCACTAGTGTGATATTGAGCCACATTTTTTTTTGTTTAATTGGATTCTACAGGAATACATGTCAGAATCCATGGCATTATTACAAAAAGCCTTGCTCAACTTTAGACATGCTATATTCTGGAGAGTTCTAATATTAAACAGTGACAAATTATTCAAATAATTAGATATGGAATTTTAATACTTCATTATTTTACAGAGAACTCATAACAATTATTTAAATGTATACCAATTATCTTACCTCAGCTATTGCACTCTGTTCAGTCCACCAGAGCTCAAAATCTTTCAGCAGCTTCACCTTGGATTTCTCCAGTAAGTGCTGCAAGTGCTCAATCTCCGTCTTCAAAACACGGAGACGATTGAATGTTTCTTTATACCTAAAAAAAGATGGGGACTTACAATGATTTAATGTTCAGGAATTGCACAATCAACATTTCAAAAACAGATACATCTAATTTTACCATGACCTTTTATGGACAAATGACACTAAAGTTCAGAAAGAATCTACAACGAAACTTCCTTTGCAATATTTAAAACATACATATTCACAAAAAAAAAAAAAAAAAAAATG